CATCTAGATGAAAATCTGATGCATGATTATGCAAATGTAAAAGACCCCGTGGAGTTGTCGAAAGCTTTAAAAAATAGGTTTGACAACCAGAAAGCAATAACTCTCCCACATGCCCTTGACGAATGGGCAAATTTGAGGTTCCTAGATTTTAACAAGGTAGCACAGTATAATTCTACCATGTTAAGAATCGTGGCTCAATTGGAATACTGTGGTAAGAAAGTGAGCGAAGACGAAATGCTCAATAAAACCTACCTTACATTCCATAAGGAGCACTATGTTCTTGCAGAACAATACAGGAACTGCAAGTACAAAATGTTTTCCGAGCTGATTGTGGCGCTTATGATAGCAGAGAAGAATAATGAACTTCTCATCAAAAACCACAATGCTCGGCCTGCAGGAACCAAAGCATTCCCTGAAGTGAATGCAACGGATGTAAAAAATCCAGAGAAAAAGGATGTAAACTATCCTGAGAAAGGGAATCAATCATATCGGGGTCGTGGTGGTCGTTTTAATCATGGGCGTGGAAGAAATTACAACTCACGTGGAAGGGGGTCGTTCAAATGGGTTCGTCCTCAAAATGATTCAAAAGGGAAGGAACACCAAGAAAATTCCACCCAGAAGAGTGAGAATGTGTGTTATAGATGTGGATCTAAGGGATATTGGGCCCGTACTTGTCGAACTCCTCCACATCTTTGTAAGTTGTACATGAATTCCACGAAAGGAAAAGGGAAAGAAGTCAATTTAGCAGAAAACTTCGAGGATACATCGTATCTCGATTCTCCCTCCTTTGCAAATGATTTGGATTAGACCGCTCTTGCGGTTAACTAAAGAGCTTGTATTGAGACTGCTGAAATAGTCTCTAGTTATGTCATATATATAATATTATGCTTTTGTTATTTTAAAAAAAATAATGTTGTTTTAACAACAATTTAATGTATAATTATTGTGTGTTTTCCTTTTATGAATAAAATTTACTTTCTTTTTATTGATGTTTATCTTAATCACAGAAATGGATGAAACAATCTCCAAGGAAATGGCTCAAGAAATTTGCATACCAGATAGTGGGACAACACACACTATTCTAAAGGACAAAAGATATTTCTCTAACTTAAAACCGACAAACATGATTGTCAATACAATATCAGGTCCTGTAGACGTGATTGAAGGAACTGGTATGGCCAACTTTATGTTGCCTAATGGAACCAAGTTTTCCATAAAAAATGCCTTGTATTCTCCAAAATCTAAAAGGAATTTGTTGAGTTTCAAAGACATATACCTTCAAGGATATGATACTCAGTCTGCAACTGAGAATGAAAAGAAGTATATGTACATAACTTCTGATAAATCGGGAAAAAGGCTTATATTGGAAAAATTTCCAAAACTTCCTTCAGGATTGCATTATACTCATATAAGTGCAATCGAATCGCATCTAGTGATTAAAAGAAATCCAGAAGATTTCACATTATGGCATGATCGCCTCGGTCATCCAGGCACCTCGATGATGCGAAAAATCATAGAGAGCTCACATAGACACCCATTGAAAATCCAGGAGATATATCATGGGAATAAAAAGACATGTGCTGCATGTTCTCTTGGAAAACTTATCATAAGGCCATCGCCAGCCAAAATTGATAAAGAATCACCAAAATTCCTTGAACGAATTCAAGGAGATATTTGTGGACCAATACATCCACCATGTGGACCATTCCACTATTTCATGGTATTAATTGACGCATCCAGCAGATGGTCACATGTTTGTCTATTATCATCTCGAAATATTGCATTTGCGAGATTTCTAACTCAAATAATCAAACTGAGGGCTCAGTTTTCTGATTACCCTATTAAAAGAGTTAGACTAGACAACGCTGGTGAATTCACATCCCAAGCTTTTAATGATTATTGTATAGTAACGGGAATTGAAGTAGAACATCCTGTAGCTCATGTTCACACACAAAATGGTTTGGCTGAATCTTTAATTAAACGCCTGCAATTAATTGCAAGACCATTGATCATGAGATCAAAACTCCCAACCTCTGTATGGGGACACGCTATTTTGCATGCTGAAGCACTTATCCGAATGAGACCAAGTGCATATCATAAATATTCCCCATTACAACTAGTATTTGGTCATGAACCAAATATTTCTCATCTAAAGATTTTCGGTTGTGCGGTATATGTGCCTGTAGCACCGCCACAACGTACAAAGATGGGACCCCAACGAAGGTTAGGGATATATGTGGGTTATGATTCTCCATCTATTATAAGGTATTTAGAACCTCGAACTGGTGACCTCTTTACGGCACGCTTTGCTGACTGTCATTTTGATAAAAAGAGTTCCCAGTTCTAGGGGAGAAAACAAACAAGTAGGAAAGAATATAAAGTGGAGTGTACCATCTTTGTTACATCTCGATCCTCCTACGAAACAGTCGGAACTGGAAGTTCGACGAATTATGCATTTACAAAGTATAGCAAATCAATTACCTGATGCTTTTGCAGATACTAAAACGATAACTAAATCACATATTCCAGCTGCAAATGTTCCTGCTTGGATTGAAATTCCACAAGAACATGGAAAAGGAGACGATACACGTGAGTCTAGAACACGCCTGAAGCGTGGTAGACCAGTTGGTTCTAAGGATAAAAATCCTAGAAAGCGAAAGGAAGCTGAAAAGCTCGATATTCCCAAAATAGCAGAAAGCATTTTGGAAGAAACGAATCATGAGTCTAATGACAATGATGAGCATCATGAGCCTGAAGGAAATCATGAGATTTCTATCAACTATATCCATAATGGAAAGATCTGGGATCGAAATAAAATGGATGAAGTCGATGACGTTTTCTCATACCTCGTAGCAAAAGAAATAAATGAGGAAAACGAAGATCCAGAACCACAGTCTGTATATGAATGTCAAAAGAGACACGACTGGATAAAATGGAAGGATGCCATCCAAGTCGAACTTGATTCACTTAATAAGCGAAATGTATTCGGACCTATTATACTCACACCTGAAGATGTGAGACCGGTTGGATACAAGTGGGTTTTCGTTAGAAAACGAAATGAGAAAAATGAAATTACGAGATACAAGGCTCGTCTCGTAGCTCAAGGATTTTCTCAAAGACCCGGGATTGATTATGAGGAAACATATTCCCCCGTTATGGATGCAATAACGTTTAGATTCTTGATGAGTCTAGCGGCTCATAAAAATTAAGAAATGCGTCTCATGGATGTTGTTACAGCATATTTGTATGGATCATTAGATACAGATATCTATATGAGAGTTCCCGACGGGTTTAATATGCCAGAAGCATTGAAATCTAAACCCAAAGAGTTATGTGCAATAAAGTTGCAAAGATCATTTTATGGGTTAAAGCAATCTGGGCGAATGTGGTATAATCGTCTCAGTGAACATTTAACGAAAGAAAGATATGTGAACGATCCTATATGCCCATGTGTTTTCATCAAGAAAACAAAATCCGGATTTGTGATAATCGCAGTATATGTTGATGATCTAAATATAATTGGGACTCAAGATGAAATACAGAAAGCAACAAACTATTTAAAAGGGGAATTCGAGATGAAAGATCTCGGACAAACAAAGTTTTGTCTTGGCCTACAAATTGAACATTCCCAAAAGGGTATATTTGTGCACCAATCCACGTATACTAAAAGAGTGCTAAAACGATTCAACATGGATAAGGCAACTCCTCTGAGTACTCCTATGGTCGTTAGATCACTTAACGTTGAAAGTGATCCATTTCGACCGCATGAGGAGAATGAAGAGATACTCGGTCCTGAAGTACCGTATCTAAGTGCAATTGGAGCCCTTATGTATCTTGCAAATTGCACTCGACCTGATATATCATTTTCAGTCAATCTTTTGGCTAGATTTAGTTCATCTCCTACACGAAGACATTGGAACGGAATTAAACATGTCTTTCGTTATCTTCAAGGGACTATTGATTTAGGGTTATTTTATCCTAAAAATATAAATGGTCAAATGATTGGTTTTGCAGATGCAGGATATTTATCAGATCCACACAAAGCTCGATCCCAAACAGGATACGTATTCACGATTGGAGGTACTGCTATATCATGGCGTTCTCAGAAGCAGACACTTGTAGCTACTTCTTCAAATCATGCTGAAATCATCGCACTCCATGAAGCGAGTAGAGAATGCGTGTGGCTACGATCAATAAGTCGACACATTCAAACGAGTAGTGGAATTCGTCTGAATACGGAGCCAACTATCTTGTATGAAGACAATGCTGCATGTGTTGCTCAGACAAAGGAAGGATATATCAAAAGCGATAGAACCAAACATATCCCTCCTAAGTTCTTTTCATACACCCAAGAGCTCGTGAAGAATAAAGACATTGAAGTAAGATATGTCCGATCATCCGAGAATTCTGCGGATCTCTTCACGAAATCATTACCCACCTCTATATTCAGGAAACATGTTCATAACATTGGAATGCGTCGTCAACAAGACTTGTAAGTTATGATCCTGATCATTCGAGGGGGAGCTTGCGCGGTTGCACTCTTTTTACCTACTATGGTTTTTCCCACCGGGTTTTCCTAGAAAGGTTTTTAACGAGACAACAGAAGATATTACGCAAGAGACATAGTGACACTGGTCTCCAAGGGGGAGTGTTACAAAAGTCAGAAAAATACAGCGTCAACAATAGACACTACGCGTTCAAAAGATTAAGATTAAAATATAATTTGTGTGGAGCCTACCGTCACTATGCATGCATAGTAACTTACTTTTTCCTGCCTATATAAACGAACGAATTCGTTCGTTGTAAATCACATTTCATACTTCAACAATAAGAAGTTATAAGAACTCTCTCTCCTCCTCTCATCTTTTTATTTTCAGTATCCCGATCCTTCTACAGGTATAATTCTTTCTCTATTATTTATATTTATATACACCATATAATAAAGTAATTATTATAACACTTTCCTTTTTTTTTTTTTTTTTGGTGGTCTAAAACAAATATTGACAAAAAAAGAGGAAGAGAAAGAAAAATGTTGGAAAGCATTAACCTCATCTCCTGCAACTTCTCTCGTCTTCCTCTTCTTCTTAAACCCTCGAGACCACACCAATCCTTAAGACAATCCCCAAAAAACCTCCTTCTTCTACAATCACGAGCTTCTTCTTCTTCAACTTTTCTAAAATCCGATAAAATTCTCCATCACAATCACCGTTTCTCGAGGAAAGACACATTCTTCCATATCTGCAAAAGCTCTTTAAACAACCCAGAAGAACCAGAGAAAACTCAAATTCAAGAAGAAGGAAGAGATTGGTCAAGCTCAATTTTGCTTTTTGCGTTATGGGGTGCGCTTTTGTACTATTGCTTCAATCTCGCTCCTGATCAAACACCGGTACGCATCTTCACATACTTATTAGTCAAATCTCGTAAATGTGTGGTTTTTGCAATCACAATCTTAGGTTTTTCATTGCAGACACAAGACTTGTACTTTTTGAAAAAGCTTTTGAATTTGAAAGGTGATGATGGTTTTAGAATGAATCAGATCCTTGTTGGGTTATGGTACATTATGGGTTTGTGGCCTTTGGTTTATGGCATGCTCTTGCTTCCCACTGCTCGAAGGTATCATCTCCATTGTCCTCTTTAGAGAGTTTACCATATTAGAGTTTGTTCAAGTGAAGCTCTTTTAGGAACACTAATAGATGCCTTTGTTCGACAGTAAAACTCCGGCTTGGCCTTTTGTCGTGCTTTCGTTTTTCGGTGGTGTATACGCTTTGTTACCTTATTTTGCACTGTGGAATCCTCCTTCTCCTCCTGTTTCAGAGACTGAACTGAGACAATGGCCTTTGAATGTTCTGGAATCAAAAGCAACTGCTGGGGTAAGAGATCTTTCTCACTCTCACTTCTCTAAATCTTGATGTGTTATCACTGAACTAGAAGAAAAAAGCAAAGTGTCTCTCGCCTTTGGTTTTTGGTTATTGGAGTTAACACAGTTTATACATCAGGTAACTCTTGTTGCAGGACTGGGTATAATTCTTTATTCAGTAGTTGGTAATGCCGGTGATTGGACAGAGTTCTATCAGTACTTTCGAGAGAGCAAATTCGTAAGCCCGATATTCTCCTTTTTTCCAGAAATGAACTCATGTTCTTGCTAGTCTTGTTGACATAACAGGACTTAACATTCTAAAATGCAGATTCATGTAACGAGTCTTGATTTCTGTTTACTGTCTGCATTCGCTCCGTTTTGGGTTTACAACGACATGACCACCCGAAAATGGTGAGTTCTATGTAAAACTATTTGACAGTGTTTAACTCAACCTTTTCCATATCTCTAAACGCACTGCTTCTTTATCAGGTTTGATAAAGGCATTTGGCTTTTACCGGTATCGGTGATTCCATTCTTGGGACCTTCTTTGTATCTTCTCCTACGACCAGCAGTGTCAGAGACGATAATAGCTCCCAAAGATTCTGCATCATCTGACCCAAATGAATAGTAACATCAACGCTCGATGACGAAACGATTTTCATGGATTGTCCAGAAAACCGACGAAGGTTTTCCAGAGACCATCAAGTTTCTGCTGATGATGACATTATCAAACATGATAAACCACCAACGTCACAATCATAAGGAGGATTTCATTTGTACCTTTGTATACAGAGAATTTCTTATGGTTAAGAAAGTATAGAAGTTTTACCTAAAGGAGGTTTTTCGATCCCTCGAAGCTAAAAAACTGTCTACTTTTCGAATAATCAACAAAACCGCGATAAAATTAGTCATTGCTTTGATTTGCTTCTACAAGAGCAAACTACTTCAGCTCCTTATATACCACAATGATTTACTCTCTTCTATAGCTGATGGAAGTGGAATCATATAGATATTGAATTAACAAAAGGAGAAAAACTCCAAGTTTAATGTAGATAATAACAAAATGAGGAAAGTCAAACTGAAGTATATGGAGTTTGTCACAAGTCCAAGAAAAGTTTTTAGGCATACAACTTGTTGAGATCATCTTTGAACTTGGACTTTATTTGTTCCCTCTTTATCTTAAGAGCAGCTGTGACCAATCCCGACTCCGGTGTCCACGGCTCCGGCAGCAACTTGATCTTTGCTGGAAGTTCAAACTTTTCGAGCTTTGCCGCCTTTCCGGCCTGAAATAATAACAGTTTTGGAAAACATATACCTACCAGAAGTAACTGAAAAACCTGAGACAGCTATTGAAAATACAAACCTTGGTAAGAGATTGTTGAACCTCCTTGACTGCTTCACTGTTCTCGCATAGCTCAGCGAATTCACTGTGTTTAACTCCTGCTTCCTCTGCCCATTTCTCTAACGCTCCTCGTGATGGAACAACAAGAGCTACACAGTAGCTGTTCATTGGGTCCGCGTGAACCATGATGTTATCAACGTAATTGCTCGAACCCAAAGCTGCCTCCACCTGTGAATTGTGTGATCCAGACAATGCAAAAGCATGAGGAGATTTTATCATATACCATCCTCTATGTGGAATTTAAGTTTTATGGGCAAACCTTTCCAAGGGATACGTATTCCCCATGTTGAAGTTTAACAATATCTTTCTTTCTGTCGATGACTTCGAGACATCCATCAGGGTGGAATCTCCCAATATCTCCGGTGTAAAACCACCTCGTGCCCTTCTCATCGACCTGAAATTGTCACATGGATCCTCAGAAATCTATATACCAAGCGGATCAATTAAGCTCCCTGAATGTGATTTACCTTGTAAACCTCATCGGTTTTTTCTTGATTGTTGAAGTAACCTGCTGTTACACTGTTACCACCTACCACAATCTCCCCTCTGGGCATTGGTTTGTCTGAAATTCTGTAGCCACCTTCTTCCCAAGAAACGAGCTGCAAGATGAAATTTGTTACTCATGATTACAACAAATTTACACATTTTCAAAGTGTTGTGTTAAAGATTGTCTGCAAACCTTAACATAGCCGCATGGAAGTGGAGGTCCCACACGGCCAACAGCAGGATCGTCCCACTCAGAAAACGTAGCTCCAGCACATGTTTCAGTCAATCCATATCCTTGGCCGATGGGAGACCTAACAGAAAACAATGCGCAATCACTATCAGAACAAACTAAGCCCAAGCATTGTGAAGTTGCAAAGAAGAATACAGAAAAAAAACAGACCAGATGAGTTTCACCAAGCAAAAGACAGTGGGTTCAAGTTCAAACATATCAAAACATCACTAATAAGTAACACAGAATCCATTTGATTTTAATGGCGTTTGCCTAAGCCAAAATGGGACAAGACTCATATGAAAATGTCAGATGTGAGACCACTTTACCCCATGCAGATATTGATGAAGCGTTGCGAATCAGGAGATAGAGGAGCTCCTCCACAGAGCATAAATCGGATGTGTCCTCCAAGCACAGCGCGTATTTTCTTGAAGACAAGAGTATCCCAAAACATTTTCTCCAAACCCCAGGCACCAAACCAACTTCCATCCACAGCTGCTAACCGGCGCTTGTATGCAAAGTCAAAAAGGGTCTTCGCCATCCCTCCCTTTTCCTCAACCTAGATTATTACATACACAGATATAAGTGATCAAGTAAGTAAGTCCAAAAATACACACAACATTGTCGTCGCTAAGATGGTACCTTTTTAAGAACTCCTTCTCGGACACGATCCAGAATAGCTGGAACTGCAGTCATTATAGTTGGCTTCAGAGCTGAAACATCTCCTTTGGTTCCTTTCTTAATTTTATTTGAAGTGTCAGTTAAAGTCATTGCTGAGCCGTAACCGATGGCACTACCTGAGGTAAAGACCACAATCTGAAAAACCATGATTTGGTAAGAAAGAGCAAGACAACAAGGTAGCAATTAAAATAAGAGAGACATGGAGAGTGAGAGAGAGCATAGCAACATACCTCAGCTTCCAGCTCAAACACATGAGCCAAAGGTAAGTATGCAATATATGTATCATTCTTATCCAGCTTTGGAACCACCTTCATAACTCCTGCAGCAGTTGCGACAAGATTTCCGTGGGTAATCATAACTCCCTGTGTGAATGCACACAATGTAAGGTACATCAATCAAGAATTCAGGTAAACAAAACACATAAAGAAGAGAGTAGACACAGTCCAACACATACCTTTGGTAGACCGGTACTACCACTGGTAAACATTATAACAGCAACTCCATTCTTCGAAGGTAAGATCGGTGGAACATGGTTCTTCTGCCCCAGTTTCTCAACTTCAGAGATCGACGAAACAGTGATGTCACCCATACTATTTAAGTCACTAGAAGTAACATCTACTCCATCTTCTTCAATGTAAATAATATTCTTCACAGTTTTCAAGCTTGATTGTATTGCAGACAACTTCTTAAGTTGTTTCGAGTCGCATATCAAGGTTGATACTCGAGTCTGTCAACAATAAGATACCAAGATTCAGAGGTCCAACAACCAAGTTTACTAATAAAAAACATAAACATACAAAACTTCCCCTACCAACCTCATTGAGTGAGTAAATCAAAGCCTCTTCTCCTAAAGAAGCATATATAGTAACAACGGTTATGCTCTGCCTGAAACATCCCTGAAATTTTGCAACAATAAAACCCATTTCATCAAACAAATACAAACCAAACCCACAAAAACAAATTGCAACCATTAGCTAATAAACAAACCTGAAACGCGATAAACCACTCAGCTCGAGTATCCGAAAAGATAGCAACACGATCATCAACATTATGTCCGACATTAACTAACCCCGACGCAAAGTTACAAACACGTTCAAAAACCTCTCCATAACTTTGCCATTTATACTCTCCTAAATGAAGCTTCTCAAACTTCCTCCCATCACTAGCAGTTACAAATTCCCTATCTATAAACTCTCTAGTCCCAAGTAACCGATCTTTCGAATACTTCTTACAAGACTGCTCAAACAAAGCAGGCATAGTAGTAGCTCCTTCCCAAGGAACATCAACCAAATCAGGAGCACGAGCATGACGCATCGTGTAACCTTCCTCGCCGCCTACTTTGATCGGAACACCTCTCTTTTTACCCTTTTTGCTTCCATTCAACACCACAGAGAGTAACACTGGTACAAGTAAAGCCACAATTCCACCTCCTATGATTCCATAAACTCCAAATCCACTGCCTTTAGACGGTGAATCCATTGGATTCACTCCAGAATCTTCCATAAGAGCGAAAGCTACACAAAGAAAGGAACAATAACACTAATCACAGTGATCCGATGATCGATCGGGCAAAAGCAAAACCGGTAGATCACAACAAAATCCAAAGTTGAGGGATCGAAAAAAATGGTTTTGGAAATGGTTTACCTACGAATGGATCGAGGGATCAGTGAAAGGAAGTGTCTTGATGCTTTCTTCGAATCGGGTTCCAGGAAAAAACGAGAAAGTTTAAACCTTTTCGATGTTACTTGTGAACAATCCGAAGCTTGTGGACTCTGTCCTTTTTCGGGCAGCTGTGGTTAAGGAATGTTTCGTCGGTAATGGGCACGTGGCATTTGGTAAATGGAGGGACACGTGTATGTTTCTCCGTTTGGCTTTTTCTTGCCACGTTTGCCTAAAATTCCGGAGAAGCTGCTTCGTTGAAGTTCTTAAGATTCTCCAATTGAATATTGTGAAAACGACGATTTTTCAAATCAGAAGCAACCAGAAACGTCTATTTTCTCAAAACGCTACTCCCTCCGTTTTATAAAGAGTGTCGTTTTAAGGTTTTATTTTTGTTTCATAAAGAGTGTCGTTTTAGGTTTTCAATGCAAAATTTAATGATTTTTTATGTTTTATGACTATTAGTATTCTGCAGATTGTTTTACTATTGGGCAGATTATGTTTAGGTATATAGTTAATGATGTTTTTGTTTTGAAAAAACAAAAAATTTAATGTTTTCTTAATCTGTGTGCAAAACTCTAAAATGACACTTTTTGTGAAACAGAGGGAGTATATTTCAATCAACGAAACGGTAAGCGATACTAAAATACTTAAAAGACAATGTTCTAAAATACACCCTAGGCGGCCGTATATACGGTAGCTATACGCTATACGGCAGACAACTGTACAGTTTTTAGGCTATGCGTTTAACAAATACGGTTGGGTTCAATACGGCCACTTACACGGCGCTATACGGCTCAATACGGCCATTATACGGCGTTATACGGCTCAATACGGCCATTATAAGGCGTTATACGGCTCAATATGGCCACTTATATGGTGCTGCATATCTAAATACGGTTGTCATTATGTTTTCATTTTTTTGAGAGTTGGAGTTTAACGTGAGACTCCTTTTATTTTTTTTGACAATTGTTTTTTTATGATATTATATATATTCCATTTGCAATATATTTATATTATATATATATATATATATATATATATATATTAAAAAATATATATTCACCGTATATACTCCGCATATACAGTTAGGCGCTATACGGTGATCCACCGCCCGACTACCGTCTAGCGTATTTTAGAAGACTGTTAAAAGGTAATGGACAAGAAATAGCGGTTCCAATTTTGCGATTGTTAAATACTAAACGGTACACCCTTAACCGATCGGTAAGGAGTCCTAGTTACCAATCAAACCCTTTGAAATGATTTTGATGAAAATGTGTGCGAGTTAAACACAGATGAATACATAAAGCAGTTCCAAAACAAAGTAAAAATATTCATATCTCCATTTCCAAGATTTCTCCGTTACAAGACGGCTTGTGCTCTTATCTCTAGTGTCCTAATGAAGTAATGATGCCTATGTTCGCTTAGGAAAATGGCGGAGAGTGTTCTTCACTATTATTAGATTTTGAAGATATATCCCCTATATATTAATAGAGAAATATTTTTTTAAAAAAACCTTACCATCATGTGTTATTAACAAGATTGCCACGCTGATGTGTCGCTCTTATAATGATTTGGCTTCTATTTAGATAATTACCCAGGATTTATTAGACTATTTACAGAATTTGTCATTAGTCTCATGTATCTATATATCCCACTAATCAAAAACGAATTTCTAATTAAAAATTAAAAAAACACACAATGTATACGAGACAAACTTTATTATTTCTATATTAGCAAACACAAAACAAATGTTACATTTTTTCTATATATGCATAACAAATAACAAATCTGTATTATCTAATATTAAAATTTAAGACATGCTACGTCCAAGCTTAAACTTAAAATCAAACAAACATTTTTTATTTCATAAATCGAGCAAACTAATGATCTATATATTACTAGATTAGTTACAAATGTGCCATGATATTCTAATTAATTCGTTAATTAACATTAAACATCAGTAATACAAACATCATATCTCTATCTATACATAAAGAATTCGTGTATATGTATATATATTAAATTGATCTAAGGTCTATATTTTTAAATCCAGACTAACACATATATATATATATATATATATAGATATATTTAACAACTCAAACATGTAAGCCTATAATTCATGTAAATTAATATATTAGAATATATTTTATAACTTTTGTAAGTACAAATTTTCCTAGGTTCATAAATCCAAACTACATTTATAAAATTAATTCTCAAAACTAAATCTATCATAAAATCAACAATAAATTAATTTTTCAAATTTTGAAGGCAATCCAAATTTCAAAAATTAAACGGAACCCTACAAAAATATTTCTCTATAAATATATTCCCTGATATCATCTTCATCCTCTCAAATTTACCAAACACACATCTTCTTAGTTTTCGAGCAATCTAAATTTTGTAAATCTTCATCAACTCTTTTACAAAGATGTATATGTGTTTGTTATTTAAGTTACGTTAGAAAAGAAATTGTCGTCTTTAATTAATTTACGGGTAAAACGAATTCCGATACGAAAAATCGATGATTGGAATATAAAACGTTTTTTTAACATGTTTCATAATACACTAACAGATTTTGGATTTCGGATAATAATACAATAATTTTTATAACTAAAACTACAATGCACTTCTTTAATTGTCATTTCATCCCGCACATAGTGCGGGTAATTTATCTAGTATGTATATTAACTAGGAAGCTCCCATTGAATTGAGGAGAACTCATGAAAATCTAACTGGATCTGCGGCGAACACTTTCTTCGGTTCGTTCCAGTGCGTTTGTTAGCACGTCTATTGTCCAGTTCGTCAAGTCATCCTGATGAAAAAGGAAACAAGCAAAAAGTCTGATTATCGAATGAGGATACGATTTAGGAAAATACAGTAAGGGTTGATGATTGAATAGAAGTGTTTACCTTGCGCACAGGTTCTCCAGTTCTTATTTGTGCATTTGGGCGAGCAAGCTTGGACTCAAAAGGTGTTCTTGGCCTTACTTCTCTAAACTCATCCCACTCCTCACGCTCAATTATCCGCACTGTGCCTTGTCCCGGTGGTGCATTCTTTATCTTGCGTTCAATCATTTCTTGGGATTTCGAATCATCAATCTGGCAACAAACCAACAATGAAAATCAGCAATTTCCTCAGATTTTATTTTAAACTACATATATTGCAAAGTAGGCATAGAGCAACGAGGGCACATCTGCTTAATAGCTACTCAAATCATTGACAAGAAAGAGATGGTAGAAGAACGCTTACTACTTACCATCATTAACACCTTTGCAAACAATGCGATACCGACCACAGCGAGGAACATAGGCATCGTTGCAGTGTCCAAATACGATCTTGATTCTGGAACCTCAACTAGAAACTGGTTCTTTATTGGGTTCCTTCGCTTCTTACTCTTTTGCAAATCGGCTATCTTCTTTCTTAAGGTCTCCGTTGGGGCATCACTAGACGGGGAATGAAACCTTCTCTTAAGCAATGTAAATAACTGACTCTGCCGAGACATCATAACCAGAAACAGGGATCTTCTTTCTACACCAAAGATAAAGAAAAACACAGTTTAGCCAAACTGGAATCAATGAAACAATGGAACCATCAGCCCAACTCCAACACATACATCAAGCATCAAGTAGAAATGAACTTTCAGTGGCCATTTTTGTACTACCTTCAGTTCAATCAGAGAAACTAAGATGCGACAGATATAGGCTCATTTGGGCGCAAAACTTTAAAAAAATCCCTCTTTTAAATTTAACCAGAAGACCTCTTACAAGAACACACTCATCCTGGACACGGTTGAGACGGTACCTCTCTCTCTCTCTCTCTCATAATGACCTCAACAAAAACACTTCAGAGATCATCACTGAAGCTTCACCACAAAGACCGCAAGCCCTAAGTTCCTTGATAATCCTAACAAGAAGCTGACCATACAAAAACTAATCTCGATATGCAAACCCAATTGCGACTTACTGTGCTATACTTAGAATTTGGTAATGAACTATGCTACAAGAATTGAGTGACATGTTCAAAACAAAAACCACAAATTTTCAAGAAATAATCCACCTTAGGTAAGCAAGATAACACTGATCGCTAACTAACTCCATAGATGTACAAATAATAATCTGATCTGGAATGTTAATAACTTTCGTTGCGGCATTTTGACGAACACTTTGTGTGCAGCTTTTCCTCAACATGAGACATACGAAAAAATTCGACATTTTTGCAACAAGGAATAAAGGGAAATCGAGATGGGTACTCTGAAAAACTTTCATTTGAACCAGAAAGATCATTCTTTAAACAAATCAATGAAACCCATTCCGAATAATTTGTTCGGTGATTAAATCTCTAAGTGAAGAGAGGTTACAAGATGAGGAGATTTCATATGTAAACGTACCAGATCAAGAGGAATTGGGTAAACAAAAAGAGACTGTCTTGATCTCCAAAGTCTTCTTCTTCCTTTGATCAAAGGTCCAAAATCGCTACTGTTCAGAAATAAAAACAAGAATTATTTTAGTTTCTTCTGAAATATATATATTTTTTTTTCTTAACTGTTTAGCTTCTTAAATTTACGTTGGAAGTGAAAAAGTGTGAGTTAATTTCGTCCAATTACACCAAATTTTACCATTTTGTTACGTTTTGATATATATTTTCAAAATATTTAGACGGACACAATTGTTAGACCAAACTATTCAGGAACAAATTTTGCTTTTTCTTGCTATTGCTACATTACTTTTAGATTCCGGTTACAGTGTGAATTCATAAAATCGACGAACATTTTTCTGTTTCGAGAGAAAATGAAGAACCCTAATTTTAATTTTTCCCCAAAATTAAAACGATGACGTTTTATTTTTTTCCCGCCCCCAAATAGTTTGGGTTGGAAAAACCCGCCCCCAAATAGTTGGGGTTGAAAATGGCCGTTTTCCCCCACGTCAATGCCACGATATCGCTGACTCAGCAGCCGTTAAATCCTGAACTAACACCGTCTTCTGTCATGTTGAAATCGGCTAATTTTCATTAGTTTAGGTTTTGAATTTAAATTAGTTTTGAGTTTGGGTAGAAATTGACGGGGGGTCTTAGTTTGGGTTGGAAAAACCCGCCCCCAAATAGTTGGGGTTGAAAATGGCCGTTTTTCCGCTTCTGTGGAAGCCCCCTTGGCCCATTGGTTGACCAAGGGTTAATTAATGCTTTCACACCAAGAGGTCTGGGGTTCGAGTCCCAGATACTGCGATTTATTAATAAATTTGCAGATTAATTAATGGAGGTAAGTGTGCAGGAGATCTCCAGCGATGTACAATTATAGCCGTTTGCCAGGATTATACGCAGAGAGAGAAGTGTCGTCAGGTCGTGGATCATTGAAGGTGTCCGTCAAGAGCATGAAGAAAGAAGTGTCGTCTATCGTGGATTTAATAAGGGTCGGAAGGAATTATCCGTTGTAGAATCGTCTATGTAACAGTTCTCATAATTTGCAAATGCAAAAAATAATAAATCTAGAGAAAAAAAAAAAACTGTTTAGCTTCTTAAATTTACGTTGGAAGTGAAAAAGTGTGAGTTAATTTCGTCCAATTATTATGCTTGGTTACACAAACTCAAAGACATAACCAAAAAAGAAAAGTCCGAATTTCTTCAAGCAAACCTAAATCCCAATTCCAAGAACTTTGGAAGATCAAACATCACCCAAGATTCTAAACTTCTCATAGAGAAGGTTGCCAAATTGTTTTGGGCTTCAAAATTAAGGGAAAATTCCCAAAAAAAAACCAAAGTAATTTCTATTTGGAAGTTTAATGCCCAATTCTTTTGCGTTGGTCTAAAAATACTTTAGTTAATTAATTGTTGTCAATTAAATCATAAACTTATTACTGATGGTCGTTTAAGTCATTCGACTTAACAGACGTTTAATCGGCTGACGGAATCCCTAAACCGGGTTTACTGGTTAAGAAAACGTGGTTAATTAGCCTAATTAAAAGACTATAATGCCCTCGTTACTTTCCCCCAAATCGTTGTTGGAAAAACCTAAAAATCAGAAACCCTAATTCTCTAACTCTCTCGATTCTCTCCTTCGTTTCATCTCCTAAGAAATTCAGTGAGGCGATGATTGGAAGCGTTTGATCGGTTGCATATGTGTTGAGTCAGTGGATTGTATATCGAAGAGATGAGGTATGTCGATTCGCGTTTTTTTCTCTGTAGATTAGAATCTCTAGGGTTATCCGACTTCAAAAAATTTCTGGGTTTGGGTTGGATCGATATTGTTTTACTTTGTTTACAACGATTAACAACTGAATTTCTTATTTTGTAGTGATTTCGAGTGTTTGAAACTCAACATTCACTACCGAGGAGATGTATCAATCAAGGAGCAGTCGTTCGATTACATTGGAGGGTTCGAGGATAAAGACATGTTGATGGATCATGATCTGATGACATGGTCAATCTTCGAGGATTTTTGCAAAGAAAAGGGAGTGAGTGGTGAAGTCGAAGCGATTTGGTACAAGCTTCCGCATGAGGATAGAAGTTCAGCAAGGGTTATCAAGACAGACAAAGATGGTGGAATTAGGGAGTTGTGTCGTGAGGCTGTGGTTATGTCTTGTAAGTAATCTGACATTTTGAGTATTGCCTCTTTTAGTTATGTCTTATTCAGATTTGATCAATGTATGTCTTATTCATAGGATAATGATGATCCATGGAGCATTAACAATGCTCCAAAGAGGTGGCAGCAAGCTCAAAGCCAGTCCACACCATCTGGTTCTCAAAGTCAGTCCACACAAGTACCTCAGCATTCAAGTGCTCCAGCAGCTAATCCAAGTGGTAGGGGACGTGCTCGTGGACGCCCTCCAGGAACTAAGAATGGTGAAGGCAAGGGTCGTGGCAAAGGTGCTGGCAAGGGTTGTGGTAAAGGTGCTAGCAAAGATGAAGCTCCTAAACCGCCTGTTTTCTTTATGTCCCCATGGACTGACAAAGTGTTTGATGTTTGGCAGCCTGGCAAGAAATAGGCTGATCTTATTGATGTCTTTTAGGATCTTTCTGATGTAGGATGCTGCTTAAGTTGGATGATGTTTGTTTTGGTGGGATCCTTGTATATTTTTGGTGGGATCCTTATGACTAAGCGGCTCTTTTTGGCTCTTATGTTGGATTAACTTTTTATGAAACTCCCATTAGTTCAAACAAGACTTACAAACTTGTCATACCACAACAACAACAAAACAGAAAACAACAACAACGACAACACAGAAAACAACAACAACAACAACAAACAAAACAAAAACTACTTCCCCATTGCAAGTATCATGGCAATAACAACAATGAAGCATCCCCAAGACAACACAATGAACTGCCGAAGCATTTTCTCTCTCTCATTAGCACCCATAACTTCACTTTCAAGCTTTGCCTTCTCTTGTCCGTATATATTCCCTAAACCACTTTCCAAATTCGTCGAAGCACTGATAGCTTGATCATTCTTCGTCTTCACAGATTCATTAAGCACTCTTTGAGTACTCTTTCAGTGTATGCCATTTGATGCACAAGGATTCCATTATTCACGTACTTAGGTTGTAATCCCAAACAGAACTTAATTATTGCCTAGGTCTTTCAACTGTTTGGTCGATTACCCAGAGGTTTAAATCATTCATATACACTGCTATGATTACAAATCCTTTGTTTGCAAACTTCTTGATAAAAATACATAGACTGATCGGATCGTTTTTATAGCCTTCTCTGATGAGATATTCGCTTAACCGGTTATACCACATACGTCCGCTTTGTTTCAGTCCATATAAGGATTTGTCCAGCCTTATGCAGTGCTGTTCTCGAGAATCTTTCTTATCTTTGAGCTCAATACCCTCTGGTAATCTCATATATTATCCAGTGGACTTATATAAATATGCAGGCATTACATCCATTAGCCGCAAATCTTTCTCTTTTATATAGCCAGACTTAGCAAAAATTTAAATGTCTTAGCATCCACCACAGGGGAGTATATCTCCTCTATTTCTGGTCTTTGTGTGAATCCTTGTGCGACAAGCCGTGTCTGATATATTACGCTTTCACTATGTTTATTTCACACAATCACAAAGACTCATTTGTCCCACTGGCTTTACATTGAATGGTGTCCTTTGTATTGGACCAAACACATTCTTCTTCTTAATGATTCTTAGCTCCACGTTTTATGGTCTTGTACCATTTTAATCAATCAGGTCTTTGAGTGCACTCTAGTATAGACGTGGGCTCCTGATCCTCATTCATTTCAGTTGCTACCTTGTGCGCAAATATATTATCATTGATGTCGACATCTTTTCGGTTCCATTGTATTCTAGACATGATATAGTTTATAGAGATCTCTTTACACCTTCAGGACCTTGAGGTTTGGCGTCCCAAACCTCATTGATTGGTACCTTAAGGTTATGTCTATTAGCCGGCCATGTCTATGGTTTCTTGAACCTTCTCGACTTCCCTTGCACCTTTCTTTGATTTCCGAGGGTTCTTGTCTTTGGAACCTTTTTGGGTCTACCACGTTTCTTACTTGTTTTAGCCTCTGTAGCAACTTGATTGTGTTCCTTGTGAACATTAATACGTACTGGTGCATTACAAGCTGGTATGTACGATTTTGTTACTCTCTTTGGGTCATTATAGGAATCTTGGCAACTGTTTTAGCTAGCTTTTGCAGATATATAGTCTTTTGGATCTCTGATGGAGTCCGAGGATCTTGCCATGTGAAGGATGTTTGATTCCATGTAAGTTCTTTGACCAGCTTGTTAGTCTCTCCACCCAGTGTTGGGAAAACGGATTCATTGAGATGACAATCCTTGAATCTGGCCTTTGGCTCGAGATACTTAATGATGGTGGGAGAATCATTATTAACGTATATTCCCATCCCCTTTTGAGGTCCCATCATTTGCTCTCTGTGGTGGTGCAATGGGTATATAGACTGAACACCCAAATGTCTTAAGATGGGAAACGTCTGGCTCATGACCCGTTAGCAATTGGGATGGGGAATATCTATGCTCACTAGAATGGCCTGATGCGTATAAGCTCTTGTTGCATGTAATATTGTGTGTCCCCAAGAAGGTACTGTCAGTTCAAGTATGGACATGTGCCACGGGGTATACTACTCTCCCCCTCATGGACATACTGTAGCCATAAAACGCTTGGGACATAATTTACCAGCATTATCTAGACATATAGTCTTAAGTATGTGGGCTCACAGACTTATGGTCTAGGCCAGCAATCTAGCAAACACCAAGTTTCTAGTTGCTTTGACTGGTGATGATCTTAGTATGGGTTTCCCTTGTGTACATGCTGCACACGTGAGATCCTTAAGGAGTGTGCCCTTTTGATTTTAATATCAGCTTTACGCATCATGTTAGAACCAGGCTGGCCAAGCCGGTCATGCCATTAGTGAATTTCTCAGTAAACCCTTTTGTTTACTGTATTAGCCTCTATCATATTGACCTTGGCATAGTAAAGGTCTATGACGCGGGTATAGTCTCTAAGACCTTCTCATGGTCTTGGGTGCTCTT